TTTTCTGGTTGCATAGGTGTTCTTAGAATAATATGAAATTTTTGCTGTTGAAGCTAGCAATGTGGTAAAGATGAAATAAAGCAATATTTATAAAGGAAATGTATAATTATAGGATATGGCAAAAGCATATTCTACTGAGGATAAAAGTCATTTATAGGCATTATGAAAACATTAATTTCTAAGCAAAAGTCATTGCGTTATATCAATTGGGGGCAGAACTTAAGGTGGAATTATTGTATCAAAAAATAAAAGAGAGACACAGACATCTATTTGTCTTTTAACAGGTTCTTTTATTATCCTGTTGTTGCTAAACACGATTAATCCTGAACTTTTAGACAGATACTATCACATCAAGTTCTTTTCTGAAAATTATATTTCAACAGTCAAAATTGACCTATATCTGAATCTATAAATGGTAAAAGTTGTAATGAAGTTATAACTTAAATTATAAGTAATTTCAGAACACCATTAATCACTTTCTACATTTTCTAATACTGAGAACGAATCAACGGTTTTAAAAACCTAACTGAATGATTTCGTCAAGGCCTAAGAATATTGATATTAAAAACCATGCTTCTGAAAATATCACAAATTATAAGAAAACTTTTTTTAATAATAAAAGGCCCCAAGTTAACTGGATAGGTTTCAAATAAAGCTGTAGGCACCTGAAGAGAGAATCTGAAATGATCGAATTGAAGAAAGCAAATGGGTCTTGTGTAAACACTTCCATCACTCAACCCGGCAGAACCGCATGTGGAGAAAAAATCATTCCAAGAACCAAAACTCCAAATGCATCGGCACTGACCTCAACAGGAATTTTAATATTTCATGGAACAGTGAGTAGCAGATTTAGTCTCAAGGAAAATTGCTATAAAGAGCATCCAGACACGGAATTTAACTAAACCACCTACTTATTTTAGTAAAAATAGGTATTCTCTGAATGAAGGTTAATTTTTTATCTATAAAACGGAAGATAGTCATCACTACTATTGAGTGATCATGACTGTTTTGCTGTGTGGAAGGAAGTGGGGAAGGTGGAGTTTATCAACTCATCTCTTACTTAATACACCTCGTTTGCTAAAAATCAGGCACAACCCAGACATACAAAAATTTAGATAATGTGAAGAGAGACCTCAGGTCTCTTTTCTTCCTAGTCTGATAAAAGTTGAGAAATACCGATGGTTAAAACCAACATACAGGTAGTTCTTCAGATGTTTAGTGAGAAGAAACATCCGGGGTAAAGGAAGTGAAAACAATTAATTTCCGTAGACACACAATGGTAAGCATGGCCTGCTGCCTCAGGTGCTGCAGTCGCCCACACAAACATTCCCACATACAGACCGGTTCCCGCTCACTGGCTGAGCGAGGCGCGGGAGCAGCACCGAGGGGTGCAATCCCGTTGCCGGTCCCGGTCTGGTACGGGGGCAACACTGAGGGTTGCGATCCGTTGCCGGACACGGAAAAAGATAAAAGACAAAAAAAAAAATAAAATAAAAAAAATAATAATAAAAAATTGAATTTTTATTTTATTGAATGGAAGAAATATTTGAAAATCCTATATTTGTTAAAGAACTTGTAGCTAGAATATACAAAGAATTCTTACAACTGAATAATAAAAAGAAAAGTAACCCAATTGATAATGGGCACAGAACCTGAATAGACTTTTTTTTCCCCCAAAGAATATATACAAATGGCCAATAAGTAGATAAAAAATGCTTGAGATTTTTAGTCATTTAAGAATATGCAAATCAACACCACAATGAGATACCACTTTACATCCTTTCTGGAATGTTTATAATAATAAAAGACAGATAAAACCAAGTGTTGGTGATGATGTGGAGAAATTGGAACCCTCATGCACTGCTGATGGAAATGCAAATGATGTAGCCACTTTGGAAAACAGTCTGTCGGTTTCTCAAAAGGTTAAACATTTTCCCTATGGCTCAGCAATTTCACTTTTAGATATATACCAAAGAGAACTGGAAATATATGTTCATACAAAAACTTGTACACGAATGTTCATGGCAGCATTATTTATAACAGCCAAAAGGTGGAAATAATTCAAGTGTCTGTTAACTGTGAAAGAAAGTGAGCCGTGACGTCAGGTACCTACCAAGCTTTATTAGAGGAAAAGAATCTGCTTGCCTGCATCCAAAGTGGGGGCAGCCCAGGGCTGCCCTCAAAATGGAAGACAGCACCAGGTGTGGGGGTAGGAGAGCTTATATAGTGGCCAAGGGCTGGCTGATACCATCAAGGAGGGGCATTATGCTAATGTGGAAGCTATGCAACCAGGGTGGAGAATTGCGCCCTTGCAGAAGCAAAAGGGTTTCTATGTAAGTCAGGAGGCTTCTTGTAAAGGGAAGGGGGGGAAGGGTTTGGTGCTGTAGTGGAAGACAAGGCCAGTGGCTATTTTGTGCTTATTGTGTGCATGATGGCACTGGTCACGTCCAAAATTCATCAAGCTGATAAATGGATAAATATAATTTGGTATATTCATACAATGGATATTATTTAGCCATAAAATGGAATGAAATACTGAAACATGCTACCACATGGATGAACCTCGAAAGCATTATGTGAAGTGAAAGAAGCCAATCACAAACACACATTTTATAATTCCATTTATGTGAAATGTATGGAATAGGCAGATCTATTGAGACAGAAAGTAGATGAGTGATTGCCAAGGGCTGAAGGGTATGGGGGATTGGTAGACAATATAGGGTACAGGGTTTCTTTTGGGGATGATAAAAATGCTCTAAAATTGATTGTGGTGATCATTGCACAGCTGTGTGAATATACTAAAAATCACTGAATTGTACACTTTAGATGGGTGAATTGTGGGGTATGTAAATCGTATCTCAATAAAACTATTTCAAATAAAAATTGTTATTTATATTTAAGAGATGTGAATACAGGTGAGGGTGAACAAAATTAATGAATCAAAATACAGATAATCATTAACTTCTTTTTTTTTTTCTTCTGTCTTTTGTCTTTTTCCACGTCCGGCAACGGATCGCAACCCTCAGTGTTGCCCCCGTACCGGACCGGGGACCGGCAACGGGATTGCAACCCTCGGTGTTGATCCCGCGCCTCGCTCAGCCAGTGAGCGGGAACCGGTCTGTATGTGGGATCCGAACCCTCGGGTGGGAGCACTGCCGCGCTTCCCAAGCGGCGCACTTATCCAGTGCGCCACCGGGCTGGCCCAAAAACGAATAAATCTTTGAACAACTAACCTACAATGACAAACAAGCAACTACAGGTTCGAGGTTTTAGGGCCGTCACAAAAGAAGACTCCTGAGAGCGCCCAAGCCATGCTGCGGGTTCGAGCGAGCAGCCCGAGACAAAAAAGGCCAAGTAAGCCAGCAGAGATGACACAGAAATGGAGTGGAAGGCACCGGACCGGCGTAACTCTGTGAGTTCTGTGAGTCACCCCAGTCCAGCCCCACTTGCGGGGCAGAAGCCCGACTGGTCCCCGCCCACCTGGCTCCCGNGGGAACCGGTCTGTATGTGGGATCCGAACCCTCGGGTGGGAGCGCTGCCGCGCTTTCCAAGTGGCGCACTTATCCAGTGAGCCACCGGGCCGGCCCAAAAACGAATAAATCTTTGAACAACTAACCTACAATGACAAACAAGCAACTACACGACAAACAAGCAACAACAGGTTCGAGGTTTTAGGGCCGACACAAAAGAAGACTCCTGAGAGCGCCCAAGCCGTGCTGCGGGTTCGAGCGAGCAGCCCGAGACAAAAAAGGCCAAGTAAGCCAGCAGAGATGACACAGAAACGGAGTGGAAGGCACCAGACCGGCGTAACTCTGTGAGTTCTGTGAGTCACCCCCAGTCCAGCCCCACTTGCGGGGCAGAAGCCCGACTGGTCCCCACCCACCTGGCTCCCGCCTACCACACCAGGCTAGGCGCCTGCAACAGAGCTGCCTCCATTTTCTTGGGTGGGGGCAGAGACAGCCGGCTCAGATCAGGCAGGCCAGCCATCTTTGCTTGGCACGGCTCCTCACCAAGATGTGCCACTTGCATACCTCGACGCGGGGCCCCCCGGGGCCTGTGGACCGGCCTACAATCCCACTCTCCCCGCGGATCTCTGACGGTGCTGATAGCGTGGGGAGCCCCCGGCGAGCGTTGGGAGGGCAGGGAAGAGGAGCCCACCCAGATCGTCTCTCCACCACACTCTGAGCTTCGGCCCCAGGTAAACTCCCTGTTTCCGGGAGGCAGATACCATCTCTGTGGGCCTCAG